TAAGAACAGATACCACTGATTATATCCTATAATTTACATTTTCTTAGCCATGACGTTCATTCACATCTACACTTTTGCTTGCTATAGTGTTAATTTGTTAAATGATTTCTTCAGTTTGAATTTCTTGCCTCTGTAATCTATTAATCTCTTTGTCAACAAATGTATCTTCCCAAATGCAGGTCAGATTCTGCCACAACCTGGTTTGGGAAGCTCTTGTGGCTTCTTATTATTTGAGAGTATAGTCCCCAGCTCCCAACACTCCAAAGTTCCTTCATGATCTAATTTCAACGTCACATTCCAGTCTCAATTCCAATTATATCCTAGATCTTTTCCAGTGTTTTACTCTCTACCAAAATATTCTATGATCAAACTATACCAGGCATGTTAACTCTTTATGTCCCCAAGTTTTCTTCTCTCCTTTATCTATCAAAATCTATTTTTTTTCCAAAAGGAATTAGATCAAAAATCATCTTTTTCCTTCCTTAGTTAGAATTTATACTTCTTTTTGCTCAATTCTCCTGTCATGTAGTATCTACATTAAAGTGCTTAATACATTATGTCTTACTTTATCATTAATTACTTAAAGCTTTTTTTCTCCCACACTAGATCATGATCCCTTAGAGGCCAGCTGTCAAGTCCTAGTATCTTCATATTCCACATTTCATGTACCACTGTATTTTGTAAAAAAAAAAGAAACAGTTACTATTGGCTTATTGCTTTCATTTGAAGTAAATTGACTAGAAAGATGTTGAAAGTATTTTTTACATAAAAATTTTAAAATATGTCCTGGGAACCCACTAAACACTTTTCATAAGATGAATGCATTGAACACTAATACAACTACTATGGTTCAGTTTCAGTTTTAAACATTTATTATTGTTTTGCAATTATGATGTTTAATAAAGAAATTCATCAATGTTTTATTTATTTGACCCTATTTATCTGTCAAACCAGAGGCAATTAAAAAAATATTCCTGAGAGAAAATGGTTCTTCTAACAAAATTGCCTTTGTTCTTTTGAGACTTAAGGTAAATTGTGTTTGGGAAGTAATCTGTTTGGATTTAGCCCACCTTTTTGTAAGTTAATGGACTTCTCTTTCCATTTAATAATTATGATAAAGACTATTTCTGAATAACCATGAGTTTTAATTTTTAAGTGACAGCTCTGAAAATCTTCCCTTTCCTCTGTTTTTATAAAATGAAAGTAAAAATTGTTCTCACTGTGTCTCCTTGGTTGTACCAAGGATTAAGAAAGCATTCTACCCTAAAAACCAGTAAATGACTTTTCTAGCTACATGCCTCTGCTTAACTCATGACCTGCTTAAAGAAGCTTTATCAGTTCTTGCTTCCCTACACATATGTGTGATATAATTCATGGAAATTATAGTTATAGTATTCAATTTTTATTTTTCTAATGATTCATAGAAAATAACCTTCCTAACCTGGTTACAAAAATTATTAATGAGGCTCTCTAAAATCAAATTGCAACCTATAGTAAAGAAAAAATCAATCAAATATCCATTATTTTCTTCTAATTTAGGGTTTCTTTTCTGATCTGCTGGTCTCATTACTATTTTGTTCAAGGGCACACATACTGTTTGAATACAATGAATGAAAACATATCATATATCTGATAAGGGGTTAATACACAAAAATATAAAGAACTTATACAACTCAGAAAAAAATAACCCAATTAAATAATGGGCACAGAAACTGAATAAACATATTGCCAAAGAAGAAATACAACTGGCCAATGGATAAATGAAAAAGTCTCAACATCACTTCTCACCAGAGAAACACAAATCAAACCATAATGAACTATTACCTCACATCTGTTAAAATGAAAATAAAAAAGACAAGCTATAATAAGGGTTGGTGAGGAGTAAAAGAAAACTCTTGTGCACTATTGATGGGAAAAATTAAAGATAGAATCACCGTATGATCCAGCAATCCTTCTTCTGGGTTTACATAACAAGGAAATGAATACAGGATATTGAAGGGATAGTTTCACTCCCAGATTCACTGCAATATTATTCACAATAGTCAAGCTATGGAATCAAGTTTAGTGTCCACCAGTGAATAAATGGATAAAGATGTACATATATATAGAGAGAAAGATTATAGATAAATATAGATAATTAAATAGAGATATGTATTTATATATGTGTGTATATGCATATAGAGTTGACAAATAGATAAATATAGGGAGATAATGAGAAAGACAGATATAGATTTAGATATACAATAAAATAATTTTAGCAGTGAGAAAGAAAGAAGTCCTGCCATTTGCAACAGTATTAGGGCTATATGTTAAGTGAACTAAATTAGACAGAGAAAGACAAAACTGTATAATTTCACTTATTTGTGAAATTACAAAGTCAAACTTGTAGAAATAGAGAGTAGAATGGTGGATAATAGAGACTATATGCTGTCAAAATGGAGAGATATTGGTCAATGAGTATAAACTTCCAGTTATAAGATGATAAGTATGGACACCTAATATACAATGCAGGCAAATATTACACATGATAACATCAATAAGAGACTATATCTTAAATGTGTTCACTACAAAAAATACTTGGTAATTGTATGCCATGGTGGAGTTGTTAATTAATGTTATGGAGTTATCATTTTGCAACATATTTATGAATTCAACATGTGCTCATTAAACTTATACAATATTATATGTGTAATCACATCTGAATTAAGCTTGGAAAATACATGGAAAATAGGTTTTGGGTGATAAAATAATATATATATTATCAAAAATACAAATAGTTAAGAAAAATACACAGAAAATAAAAATCTAATCACATAGATAATTCTGCCAGTGATATGTTTACATCATCTAAAATCTAACAGAATATTACAATCAATTTACAACCTCAAAATGCAGGTTTTTTCTATGATAATGGAAAAATTAACAATATGAAAGACAGAAATGAGGAAAAGGTCAAAAACGTGCCTCAACACCAAGAATATTGCACAGATAGGCTGTAACAACAAAGTGGGAAGAAATGGTTTCGTTAGAGAACCGTTATCTATTAAAGTCAAGATAACTCTTCGGGGCCTCTCTGGTGGCGCAAGAGGTTAAGCACTGCTCTGTGAAGCTGTCCGCAGCCTCTGCAGCACAAGTTCGATCCCTGGCCAGGCAGAGAGAAACCCATATGGCGAAGCAGACCTTTCCTGCCTTGCCCGGTGCTCCCCTCAGCAGTGTATTTTATCAGTCTGCCTGTTCTTTTCCCTGCTCTGCCTCTGGTGAATCCTCTCACACCTCCATCTCTGGCCTGTACCCCAGCTCTTGTATGCATTGATAAATAAATCTTTAAAAAAAATAACTCCCTTTGATTGTACAGTGATTATGATTATATGAGTGTCTGTGATGACTAGACAATGATGAAGTCGGAGAAGAGTATGTGAAAGTAGGAAATATGAAAAATGTTATGCTAATTGGAGTCAAATCCATGTCAGCTGAGATGATCCAAAGAATTCCCTGTGGCAATCATGAAATACTAGGTAAGCCAGCCTAGTTAATAAAGGCTTTCAAGAAATTCATCTCATGCCTTCTTCATAACTGGTGGACACATAGGTCTCTCAGAGGTCAGCAATCAGGGTGGCACTCATTCTTTCTCTCATTCACTCAAAAATAAGTTAAAAGTTATAAAAAATACTCAAGTCTATGTCTTTTGATAAGCCTCGGTAACTTTAACTGGTTTATAGATGTCAAATGTTTAATTATTTTGCCTTATTTTTTCACTAGATAATTAACATAAATACTCAGGAGTGCAAATATTTTAAACAATATTGAGAAAGGGAATATATCAAGATGCATATATGAAAGCTTGAATCTTCTACATATAGCTATTAAATATAATTTAATAGAAAAATTACTTTAATGTAACGTGTTACTGCATAATCTCAGACATATGTATAAAAGATTCAATGTTTTTTGTGTTTTAATTTATTTTATTATATTCTTTTATTAAGGCAACATTTGATTTGCAATATTGTTTGTATTTTATAAGTGTAGGGTCTCCCTTTTCAGGTGGTGTTGCATCAGTACACTGCCATCTACAAAGCACCATAGTCTACCACCATAGTCCAAGCCTTCCCTGTTTGTTCTCATGCCTCCCCTTTCTATCCACCCCCACCCTTTCTCAGTTCAGCTTTCAAGGGTTAGTTTTTTAGTTTGACTTTATCTAACTCCTTCTTTGTTATCTTTATTTTCTACATAAGTGACACCATCCAGTATTTGTCTTTCTCATTCTGACTTATTTATTTAGCATAATCCTTTCCAACTAAATCCATGTTGCTGAATGACAAGAATGTTTTTTTACAGCTGAGTAGTATTCCATTGTGTATATACACCATATCTTCCTGATCATCTCATAGGTTTTTAGGCACTTAGGTTGTTTCCATAGCTTGGCTATTGTAAATAGAGCTGCAGTGAACATGGGAGTTCAAGTTTCCCTTTGAATTCGTGTTTTTTGTGTTCTTCAGGTAGATACCTAGGATGGACTTGCTGGGTCACATGGCAGATCCATTTTGTAGTCTTTTGAGAAACCTGCATACTGTTTTCCATAGCATTATGCAAGTCTACATTCCCATCATTAGTGCACAAGAGTTCCTTTTCCTACACTTCTTTGCCAGGACTTGTTTCTGATCTTTTAGATAAGGGCCTGTGAGGTAAGTGATGGTTAGGTTTTCATGCTGCTGAACTCTGTGGGTGTCACCTGCATCCTTGAATACAGAAGGCACTTGGGAGCCTGAGCTTGGGGCACACATTCCTGGAGTGTGGTGTGGGCGTGCGTAAGTGGGGACACCTGAGCCTGGAGGCTGGGCCTATAAAGGCAGCAGAGAATGGCTGAGAGAACGAGAATGGGTGTGAGAAGAAGAGACCGCGAGAGAACGCCAAAGAGAAACCAAAGAGAAAGCGTACAAATTCACTGGGAGTTGGGGAACCTGCCGGCCTCCTGGCGTCCCGGCCCCTCTGCCTGCCGTGCACCTGGTTGCTTCACTACAGATGGTCTAGAAAGATAATTAAAAGCCTGAAAAAGCCACTGAAGTCCAAAGGCTCTTCTTCAGCCGTCAGCCTGAATCAATGGAGAGCTTGCCCCGTGCTTTGCTGCCACTACAGGGCCATTCTTGAAGGTAGGTGGTATCTCATTATTGTTTTGATTTGCATTTCCGTGATGATAAGCAATGATGAGCATTTTTCATGTGCCAGTAGGACATATGTTTGTTTTGTTTGGAGAAGGGCCTATTTATCTCTTAAGCCCATTATTTGATTGGGTTATTTGTTCTTTTGTTGAATTGTATAAGTTGTTTATATAGGTCTTGGATATCAGCCCCTTGTCGGATATGTGGTATGGAAATATTTTCTTCCATCCAGTGTGGCATTTTTTGTTTTAGTCAATTTTTTTCCCCTGTACAGAAGTTTTTTCAGTTTGATGTCGTCCCAATTGTTTATATTCTATTTTGTTTTCCTCACTCCTTGCGATGAATCGGCAAACATCTCTGAATCCTTTGTCATGGAATGTTTTGCCTGTGTTTTCTTCTATATAGTTTTTGTTCTTAAGTCTAACATCCAGGTCTTTTAACCCATTTGAGTTTTTTTTTGTTTATGGTGTGTGAGAGTCTATATTGTTTTGTTTGGATGGATGACAATGTTAATTCTTTCAATATATTAGGAATTGTCTTCCCATTTCTTTGTATCTGTTTTGTTTTGAACAATATATTATAATTTTCTTCACCGCCTTTATTAGGTTTGCTACTAGGTGTTTAGTTTGGTGTAATTGTCAATGGGATTGTTTTCTTAACTTATTCCTTTTCTAATTCATTCTTTGTATATAGGGATGCAGTTGATTTTTGTGTATTGGTTTCATTACCTACCACTTTGCTGAACGGATTCATTGTTTCAATTAGGTTTTATAGTGGAGTCTTTGGGGTTCTCTGTGCATGTTATCTGCAAATAATTATAGATTTACTTCCTTATTCCCAGTTGGAATTTCTTTTATATCTTCTCTTGCCTAAATGCTCTAGGTAGGACTTCTGGTACTGTATTGGGAATAGTGGTGAAAGTAGACATCCAGATATGAGTGTGAAAGCTTTTAGTTTTTCATTACAAGACTGATGTTTGCTGTGGGCTTATCAAGTATGGCCTTTAATATATTGAGGTATGTTCATTTAGCCCCAGGTTTTTTTTTTTTTTACCATAAATAAATGTTGATTCTTTTCAAATGCTTTCTTGCTATCTCTATATATGACCATATGGTTTTTTATCTTTTCTCAATGTGCTGAATTGCACTGATTGATTGCTTTGGGGATGTTGAACCACCCTTGTGTATGTGGTAGAAATCCCACTTGTCACTGTTTTTTTTGAATTATGCTTCATTTCACAAGGACACAAAACATGACTCTGTAAAACTATAGAAATCCCATCCTAACAGTAATGTCAATAAATGAATACATGGAGAATTTATTAATATGTTTCAATAAATGTGTGCCACACCAGAAACCCCTAAAAAGCATTTATGAAAAATTCTCTCTATTAGAAACTGTCTTATTTCTGAAGATTTTTTTCTTCAAAGATAAAAATTATAACACCCTGTCAAAGAATAATCAATAATTTTATACATTTATAGTTTTTCTTTTCATTTATTTAAATATTTTTAAAATGGCCTTTAATACTGAAGACAGAGATTCTTAAACTTCTACCAGCATGATTCATAACATAAGCTAAATCCATAGGTGGTAATTTTTTCTTTCATTTTTAAGAACTGATGGACTGTGGTTGAAAGATAGTTATTCTGAGCCTAAGAAAATGTGATATGCTTGCCAGTAGCAGGATAAAAAGCTTTTCGGTTTATTCCAAGACAACTCTATTACAAGCAGTTATGCTCCAAGCTTTAGTAACATTTCTCTGAGAACAGGCACGGCGGGGAGAGGATTTGCAGATGGAGAGTGGCAGTTACATTTTAGCTTCACAGAGTGAGGGCAAGTGCTCACCTTTGTGGGTACCTGCTCCTGTGGCATAAGCTCACATGTGGTCCCTATGAAGAGAAATTTCCTCACTTACCTTAGGCTTTGTAAATTAGAAACACACTCTCCATAAATGAGAATGAGGGCAAATGATTGAGATTTTTTTTTTAAATCTAATTTCTGATTGCCAATGGCTGGGAAGCCAGTCTTTAGATAACTAGTTTAGGATCAAATAGCAAATTTCTCTTTGAATGGAGTGTATATAGATTAACTTACCTAGTCAGGGAGCTATTTTTTTTTTTTCACCTGGGGATAGTTATTCATGCCAGAAAGTAGTCATAGCTTTAGGGGTATTTGCTGGCAATGAGTTTCATTCTTTAATTCCTTTATACATCTGTAAGGGCAGGAAGGCTACAGGGCAGGTTTTCCTGATCAAGCAGACTGGGATAAAGGAGGAGAGAGTCCTGGAGCCCTCAGTGGCTTTTACAGGATTTTATTGGGATTTACCAGGTACATGGCAGGTAGGGGTGCTGGGGGGCCGGGAGGCTGGCAGGCCTCCCAGCCCCCAGCAAGTCTTCACTCTATTTGGGCTCTCTGGCATTCTCTCTCTCTCTCTCTTGGCTTCTGTTCTGCTTCTGCTGGCATCCCCATGACGCCACCCTTAAAAGCCCAGTCTTAGCTCAGGTGAATCCCATCTACCTATGCCCACACCCTACTCCAGGCGCCCGCCATCAGGCATGCATTCAGGACCACAGGGTTCTGTCATCCATCCTAATGGCGGGAGCACAGAAAAGCCTGATACTTTTACCTTACCCTACAACATCCTTGATATCTTGTTTCAGAAAATAAAAGTGTGACTTTGGATATAATAATGTCCATAAAAGAAAATTCTGGGAATAATTCTATCCAAAAGGCAGAAAGGGATCCTCCTTAAACACACTTTTAGTTCTTCTCCTTTAGTATTTACTGTTGTTACATTTTTTCTTCTAAAAGGTTGCCATTTACAAGTAATTATGATATCACTAGCTGCCCTGAATAATTTTTGAATTATAGTGCAGAAAATTATGATAGTGAATGACTTGAATATAGGATTATATAAAGGAATGATTTATACCTTAGTTAAAATTGCTAACATATCTGTAAATATATAAGAATATCTTGGATACTGAAAAAAATCTTTCCCAGAATGTCTGTTGATGATTAACTTCCATCCAGCTTTCAACAGAGATGTAAATGCCTACAATCTACTTAACAATTCAAATTAATTAAAATTTTTAAACTGGGTAATTTCTGGAGAGTAAACCCATTATTTATGGAGCAAAAGCTGCAAATTCTACTTTGCTGAAATGGTTTGTTCGTATTATGCACCTTTATGGTTCATTAGCCCCATTCTTCATGCTATTTTCATACTTTCATTTTTTGTTTCAAAAATGTTCATCACCTGAATGGTCAGAGTGACCATCATGCTGGACAATGGGCCAAGCTTTAGAAAATGTTTCCATCTTCAATTTACTCAATTCTTCTAAAGCAGGAAAGCATTCAGAATATCAGATATAACTGAGACAGCTACTACCTGTCCTACCAGAGCCTAAAGCTATATTAGCTGAATCAGAGACAAATTCTCCTCACAGCCTGATTGCAAATTTTTCTTGGAAACTACCCACTCTCACATTTTTCTTTAAGGATCCTTCTGTTTGGCTGGTCATAGAATATTGAAATAATAAATTGGAAGCTATCTAATATTGAGACTATGTTGAATGCTTAGGAAAATCACGTTTAAAATGTTACTCTGACAAAGCTATATTAGTTATATTCTAATTACTTTCTACTCTTAGGAAATGATATTATTTTGCCTCTTAGACCTCAATGGAAAAAAACTAATAAAATGCTCAAAGATCAGGATAAAATGTCATGAAAATAAATTACTCTTTTTTTCTTAAAACATGTCATTTTTAGGCAAATTTTTGGTATGTATATACATCAGACTTACTACATAAATAACAATGCTAATATGCATGAAACACACATTATGTGTCAAAGACAGGGTTAAGTTCTTATATGATTACCTCATTAAATCTTTCTCTCTTGTCTATGTATTAGACACTGTTGAATATAAGTAAAATGAGATATAGAAAAATGACTTGTCCAAGATCACAAGGTTAGTGACAGAGATAGAATTCAAGCACATGGAAGTCTAAGACTGCCCTCAACCAATATGTCATAACCCTCAGTGTCTTATAGAGAAAAACCTTTTCAGTTAGCACAAATACACATAGAATGTATATACATTCTGACATATAGAATATGCATTATATAAAATTTGCATTGAAAGAGGCTACTTTTTTTTTAGTTTTGTTTTCTTTTTAATTAATTTATTTATTTATACAAGCACTGGGTACAGTCAGAAGTGTGGGAGGGTGAGAGAATTCACCAGAGCCAGAGCAGGGAGCAGAACAGGCAGAAGGACCAAAGTACACTGCTGAGAGGAGCAGCGGGCGGCAGGAGAGGTCTGCGCTCCATGTGGGACCCTCCTCCAGGGAGCAGCTGGGGATTGAACCCTGCTGCAGAGGCTGCGGGCAGCTTTGCAATCCAGCGCTCAACCGCTGCGCCACTGGGGAGGCCCCTTTGTATATTAAATATTTAATTTCATAATTTTTTAAAACTATGGACATCACTTATCATCAAGGAATTCAAGTAAAAACCACAATGAGATATCTCATAGCTGTGTGGATAGCCAATCAAAAAGAACAGAAATAAAGTGTTATAAAGGGTGTGGAGAAAAAGGGAACCATCACACACTGTTGTGGGACTCTACACTGATCCAACCTCCATGGAAAATTTTACAAATAGATCTACTATACAACCTAACAATTTTACTCCTAGGTATCTACCCAAGAATGCTAAAGCACTAAATTTAAGGGATATATGACTCCTCTGTTCATTATAGCATGATTAGAGCAAAGTTATATAATCAACCTAAGTACCCAAGATCAGAAAACTGGTTTCAAAAAAATGTGGAATACTACTTGGCTGTAAAAAGGTGAACTCGTTACACTTGCAACAACATGGATGGAATTTGAGGGGATTGTGCTAAGCAAAATAAGTCAGATGGAGAAAGACAAATGCCAGATGATTTCAATTATATGTGGAATATAGAAAAAAATAATCAA